CAAAATAGAATATATGACAATATTTAAATATAATATATCCTAGACTGACAAATCATCTCCGTTCAGAATCGTTTTTCGTATACAATGATACCTTTTCATTGCATTCAAATCTTACCTACCCTATTCAGACGTCCACCACACCACCTAATGTACAGCAGAACGATACCCACTTTCCCGCTTTTTTTAAGAACTATTTTTTCTTTTTGATTTATTCCCTTTTATATTTACTCTATATTATAAAAAATAAATATTTACTGTGATATTCCAAATTAATCCATCCTACTACTAAACTATAAAATATTTGCAAATAATTTCTAAACAAGGATTTATGTGTGTAATGATTACAATGCCCATAGAAATATTTTAATTTCATAGTATTATGGGTATATTTATTATTCTGAAATAATTTATGAAAAAAATTAAATATCTTGTTGTGTAGGTAAACATAATTAAAATTATTTTTCTTGTTATTATATAATATGTTAATATATTACAGTAAAAACACTCAGAGAAAATGTAAAAGTTTTCCTATACATAAAGTATTATTTAATTTTTAATCTATAAAGAGGTTCCTACTTGAGATTGTGTTTTTAATTATCACGATAATATTTTATATCATTTTTTTTTTTAAATAAATAGCTTTTGAGAACCAATTTATGACATATTCATTATATTTTAATCTGAAACGTTTACTCGTAGATCGGTGTAGTTATTATTATAATAATTAATAATCATTACGTATTTTCGACAATGACAACTAATAGTTTCAATTATAGATTTATTGTCATAATAAAAATTAATTTCAACTTAATAAATTAAAACTTAGGTAGTATTGCGAAAACAAGAATTCATATAATGATTTAAATAAGACCTATAATTATGTATTACATATTATATAGGTATTATATAGGTATTGTATATTATTATATACTTGTCTTGTACTGTATACTTTCCTCATGTTTTATCACAAGTCTCCAGGGGCTTATTTAGTCATAAAATGTGTTTATACTTGTTTTAATGTTGTAAGAAATTAAAATAACAATACCTACCGATAGGTACAAGGTACAATAATAAATAAATAACCAAACTGGATAATCGTAAAATTCCGTAATTTTTTTAAAAGCAGTGAAGTATATTACACAGTAAAATTTAATGATTATGGAAATGGAATTTAAAGGAACTTGTAAGAAAAAAATTATTCCACAATAGGTAATTAAATGATGACTCTGTCCAATACTCCAATCTCAAGGGTAAAAAACTTTAAAAATAATAATATTAATACTCTCATAGCGGCTAGTTTCAAAATTTAAAACAATTATTCAGAATTCAGATTTTTTGTTGTCGTTATTAATTATTGTATCGTTTTCAAACTATGTCTTTAGTGTAGTATAATTATTATGCTATTTCACTAGAAGTCGAAGTTATTCCATGTAATTTGTCATTCTTTTGTCTTAGTTATCTTATATTATAGATTATAGAGTCAGAGTGTACCTAAGTATCGTGAGAAATTCTTTGGTTATCTTATTTTTAACATATTTACGCCTTGTTTGATCGTGTTATATATGTATATACATTTTTTTTTATTTTGATAAATCACAATTCATCACTATTCATTACAATTGATTAATTTATTTTGTATAACTACTATTAAAGTATATTATTAGTTATTGAATATCATGCGTTTTTTACTCATCAATGATAACACTGAACCAATAATCATCTTTCTTTAGTATATTTTACATACATTTAATAATATTTTGTGGTATCATATTATAGTATTATGATAACTTTAGGCATGAAGAGATTAAATAAAATATTTTATTACCTTCCTTCTTATTAAGCGGTTGGTTTAATTAAATAAGTAAAATCATATTAATTTGTTAATCAACTGTATAACTTGAACAGTTAGTAGTTACTGTCTATCATTGAGTTTTAGACGTTGATAAAAAAAAAAAAACATGATTTATAAAAAAAAAACTGACATGTAGAATCCGGTTAGTATTTGTATTACGTGTCTTTCACAGCTCTTGGGCATGTGCTCTGAATTTTTAATATATCTTTTAGATCTTATTATCATTTTATTAAATTGAATGAAAACTTCAATTAGTTAATAGATTATAAAATACTTATGTTTTACTATTTTATTTATATTCATCAAAATTTTGATGTTTTCCTATTTAATATTAATGATCAAAGAACAATATTTATAATTTTGATTAATTATTACAATGTATAGTTCACCAAAAAAATGAATTCAGTACAATACAATTATTATGGTTTTTGAATTTCGTTTATTAAAATTACCTAATTAAATAGTATTAAATATTATATAGTCTGGATAACTAATATAAATCGCTTCCAAATTGATTCAATAATTAATATTCACTTTATTATGGTCCAAATTCAATTAAATGTATTTAAATTATTGTTAATACAATTTCATAATAATATGGTATTTATTGGAGTAATATGTATGATATATTAGGTACTTTTTAATATAATACAATAAAAGCTAGCTAACTATTATTTTTACTGTTGATTAATTGCTAATAAACTACTTTACAAAATTGATTATTATATAATATCTACTCTAGTTTTAAAACATTTTTTTAAAGATTAGCTTATGTATGTTGTGCATTTTATTTATAGTTGTACGTAGTACATACTTTTTATATTGTGTATCAGATACACATAAATAAATCATAAATGCTTAGAAGAATCAATTATTAATTAAAGCTACCTGCCTATACAGTTTTTTTAAAGCATTCATTGTTGAAATAGTTATAAAACTGCTATACAGCAATATGCTTAAAAATAAAGTATTTCTTGAAGTTATAAGTTAGAAAAAATTAGCAATCAAAACACGCACAAAAAATTCCACTTAATTGGATTCGTACTCGTATTTTTAATTAGAACCTTTGGAATACCAATTATATTATGAATCAATTTCATGGGTAAACTAGAATAATAATCTTACGAGTACATTTTGTTCATCATATATTCCACATTCCTTGAGAAATTATTTCAACAAGATAGAATTCTATCAACAACTGAACAACAAGTTAACAATATTCATTACCAACATTAACTATAACAATAATATTCTATATGCATTTTAAATACATGCCTATCGTATTTGTTATTTTATTTGTATATTTCTAAATTATACAACAATGAATAATATAATATGTACGACATAATCATAGATCCGAAACGATATATTTTGTTTTATCAATTATGCGGTTTGAGCTACAAAATGTATCTACCAAAGTTCAGATAATAAGTAGGCATGTATAAACAAATTAAATCGCATTATAATACTTACATTTATATTAAATAAATCATTTAAGGATTTTTTTGTGTAGCGCGTCGGAATATAGTAACATTTTTTTCACTAGATCGTAATAGTTTTCGTCATTAATCTGAACGCGATTCATAATACGCGCATACCTACGTTATGACTTCGGTTTTCGCTGCTCAGCGACATTATTGGTAATACATGTTAGGTTTTTTTTTGCGGTGGATAAAAAAATAAAACCACGCACGTATATAGTATATGTATCAAACATCGATGGCTTCTTGTTTCCCGCGGTATACTTTATGAACCTACGGATCGTATTAACATGCGGTTTTGTCCGTTTGTGGAACTGGCCACCACTGTCATCGTTCAACCGGAATTTTATAGATATCTTCTAACTTGTTGTCACCAAGTGTCAATTAATGTGTATAGTAACCGTTTTCAAATTAATTGATATTTTTTCGTGGTCCTATATATCAATAGGTAATTACTAATTACCAACAATATAATAATGCTACTGGCAATAATATTAAAATTATGGGCATTATGTTACTTTAATASATAATAATGATATTATATATTATTACACAGTTGAATTTACGAGTATATGGTGTCATTCAATTTAAAAAATCCTCAGAAAAATACATCATTGTGCTCAGCCAATATGATACATTTTCGTTTTTATTGATGTTTTTGACAATGAGCGAGCACTAATTACAATATAATGATAAATGAATCCATCGAAAATGATCTATACTAACACATATGATGTAGGCAGGTACGTTTAGTCGATCTCTAAAAAGATTTATTTTTCTAAATATTTGTATTGCTGCGTATTAGTGTTTAAAATGTTTATATCGATGTTCAATTATAGTTATTGTTCATTTTTGTGAACTTGTTAAAAAAAACTTATTTCATTATAGAAATGAAAAATAAAGGTATAAAGAAATAACGTGAAATCTTAATTGTTGTATACTCAGTACTTATATATATATATAAATATATTGACTGTATTTATGATAATTTATTACCAAGAAATTTTAGTTTATATAATATAAATTATTATTTTTGTTGATATACGAATTCATACGATTACACAGGTATGTATTTTCAATATGGAACTTTTGCATTGATTTAAGACCAATAAACAGTAACTTTAATGATGTCTATTTAGTTATTAATAGTAGCTTTAGTTTGTAAATATCCACTGACCACTGTTATAAAGAGGGAAAATATTAACGAAACAGGCGTTATCCAAAGGCCTGATTGGCTAGTGTCGGTGAGTGATATCGCCTTGAATTGTCATAATTTCCACTAAAATCCTTGTACGTTGATATTTTATTAGTTAAACGTATCGTTGTTATACATTAGATTGTTGCAATGTGTATCGTATATTCAAATGGGCAGTTGTAGGTACGTATAACATTAAACAAACAAGGGAAGGGGCAGAGAGAGGAACGGATACCGCCTTGTTGCGGGATGCTGGGTATCTAGAAGACGAGTTTTAAACCTCCAGTTACCAATTGTCGGCTCCGGTCACCCGACACGCAAAATAACACGAGTTCGTCTAGTTTATCGGTTTACTTTCCGTTTCGGGAAATTAACAGTTACGTTTTTTTGATTTTAATTTTTTTTTTGGTGTGTATTTCTGAATTTTTGTTGTGCTTTTGTTTGTTGTGAGTTTTACTAATCTCATCATACTATATCATATTGGATTAAAATAAAATATATAGGTAAGTTCAATAAATGCGTGATAACGCTATTAATTAATCTCACCTAATACAAATAAGTACATTATTTTTTGTTGCTATTTTTATTGATAAACTGTTTTAATAATTTTTATAAATTACTGTTCATAAAAAAAAATTATTTTCTATATTTTCAATTAATTTACTGCATCATCAAGTGTATTTGCAGTCATCAGCCGTTATTTGTTTTTTGAATTAATCATAACATAAGCTTTTATTAATCATTAATCGATGTTTATTTTACACATAAATGTATAAAATTCCATCAACAAATAATAATTGTATTTTATTAAACGTAGATAGGTAGAAATGAAAAATCCAAGCCATAGCTTTTTTAAATATTGTTCAAACAATAGAATTTATACAATCGTTGAATCGTTTGATCATAAAATAATAAAGTTATTAGTTATTATTATATTACTATATGAGAGATGGATAACAAGTATAAATATAAATATTAACAACATTATAAAACTTATTAATTATTATTTTACAACTCAGTATTTAATAAATAAAATTTGAAATACACAAAATTATTTAATTAAAATTATGATATGAAGATAATACACACACACACACACATATATATATATATATATATATCATATACAAAATACATATTGTAAGTCGTAGTGGGTTATAACTTATAACCTAGTATAAACTACAATTTTTATCAATAAAAAACTATTTTTAATAAGTAGGGCTCGGATTTAAATGCACTTAAAACTATTATATTTTGTATAGTACAAATACGTTCTAAAAAATAGCCAAAAATGTCCTTAATAAATGCATTTTACCTGTAAAATTCCATTTATATATATATATATATATATTTACAATTTGGAATGTATAAATAAAATACAATAAAAATAAAAATAAAAATTGAAAAAATTGATTTTATGCTGCTAAGTTTTGAGGCAATATTATTCATTTTAATCATAAGTTCTAAAATATTCATTAATAAATACGCTAAATTTG